GTGGTCAGAATTTAACTGAAATTTCAATATATTCATTTTTCATTATCAATTTTTAAACTATTATAGCAAGAAATGACCTAGTTTGTTGAGTGAACATTACATCGCGTTTCTTTCTTTGGGTTTGACTTGGATATAGTATTAAATATCTTTATATTTCAGTTGGCTACAGTACGATCATTAGCAATTAGTGATTGTTTATTTAGAATGGAAGTTGGGAGTTTAGCAGCGACGGGGTCTGGAGAATTATGGATGCAAGTCGATGATTCAGCTACAGCTCAAAATATGCATGACTCCATATTCCAGTAAGTTTAATAATAGAAGTACATTTTAGAACTAGTGCTGGGTATTGCCACCTCAGTCACGATACAATTAAGTATCGCGATTCAGGTGCTACGATACGATTCGTATCACGATTCATAACCAGGTCAATATGGTTTAATTCTGTTCGGTATTTACGACGAAATTCCATTGATCAGAGCTACTTCCTATGAAAACGAGCGAAATCCAGTAGATTATCTATCATTGATAAGTTTTGATTTTCGTTTTCTTAAGGAGATCACGTGGCTAAGTGGGTGAGAAGCTGGCTCGCTATCCTGGAGGTCGGGTGTTCGATCCCTGCATTGGCCAAGAAAGTTCATCCAGATTTTCCGGCGTGGTTTCCCCTTGTCAGTGATGCAGGACGGAGGGCCTGATAAGGACAGCTGTCTAGTCAATCGGATGGGACAAAAACCTGAGGTCCCGTGTACATATTGGCGTGCACATAAAAGATCCCTTGGCAGTTGGAATTCGATATAAGAGTAGGCCGTAGTGCCGCTGCCCGGGCAAAATTTCCCTCATAGCACACTGTATGGCGTATGTAGGTCTTCCTTAGCCCAGTTTAGGAGCAGAACAGTAGGACGTTAAACCCCATTTCATTTCATTTCGTTTTCTTAAACAAACATTATGCAAGAGCTAAATCTGCCTATTGTAGGTCTTTCTTTAGGCATGAAATGTTATATAAACTATTAATTAGACATTAATTAACGTATCCAGGCCATAATCAACTCTGGATACGCAGGCCTGCGATAATTGTTGGATTATGATCCGATTTGCTGCATAACTTTCCTTCTCGATTTAATGATTAAATGGATAATTGAGACTATGATTTTTGTCATACCGACGTTAGTAATGATGACCGAGGCTATGCGGAACTTTCGATCGCTTATTTCTCGGTTCATAGTGGATCAATTTGACTGAAATGTTCACATAATGTATCTTTAATTAAATGTTAAATAATCAATCTAAGTTCATGGATTAGGCTGCAAGAAATTTGATATATTCTGAAAAATGTAAATCAAGCCCAGTACCTTTAAATTGGAATATAATTATAATACTTGTTATACTAGGTGTATGAAGGCTGCATCTATGGATGACACAGATATAAAATCTAAAGAAAGACAACGGTCTGGTACGATCAACTCTACAATATCACCACGATCAACCAGTACATTAGATTATGTTAATTCACGTCGTACCAGTGGTTCAGTTCAAAGGTAAGCTTTAAACATTTGATTTTCCAGGATCAGGTTCAAATGGATTAAAACTAGTAATTGTTTCTCTTGGTTTCATGATGGACGAAAGCAGTTCTTTAATTTGGGGGGGGGGGGGCGGCGTTCAGTAGTATAAAACTGGCACTTGAAATCAGTATGCTGTCATTGAGTCAAAGTCTGCCTTATTCGAATTTTTAACGCCATACACGGATTTTAAATCCTGTATAAATAATTTTATTTATGACCGCTGGCAATGGTCTTGGGATCTTGCAGGCACAAACAAACTTCATCACATAAAGCTTCTCCTTGGAGAATGGCCAAGCTCCTACAGGTCTAACAGGAGAGATGAAGTTGTTTTGTGTCGCTCTCGCATTGGTCATACTTTTTTAACTCATATTTTCATTTTGAAGCGAGAGCCTCAACCGGAATGTGTTCACTGTCATGTTCCTTTGACAGTGAGACACATCTTGATTGAGTGCAAACATCTCAAGTATACTAGATCTAAATACTACCATTGCCAGTCATTACGTCAGCTATTTGCTCAACCGGAGCTATATGATAAAGTGCTAACATTTTTAAAAGAGACAAACTTTTATTCTCAATTTTAATTGTATATATTTAGTCATGTATATCGTTTTAAATATTTATATATGTAAAAGATTTGTTATATTTATTTTTAATTATATATTGTCTGTGATATTTGTTTTTATTTACATATATAAATTCAATTATGTGATATTGTTTTAATTTGTCTCGTTAGATTCACCATATGTTTGGCGCAATATAGCCCGGTTGGAGCTGACGTGCCATTAAACAACATTTCATTTGATTTCATTTCATTGAGTCAAGTCGCGTGATTTCGATTCCCTGCTTGATTGTGAAAAAGGCATAGGATCTATATATTAGTCCTGAAATTATCTAGTTTGTGTCGCTCTATTTGTAGCCATTGAGAGTCACCTATCAATGTAATGGAGAGTTATTGCCCCTGAGTGTATATTACTTGCAATGTTATGTTAATAATTGTTATATAAAAACTGTTTGCTTGTTGTTTTTTTTAGCCCAAATCGTATTCGTGAGAAACGTCCTGTATCCTGTAATCCGGTGATGGCATTTCCACCATATAATACCCCACCAAGTACAAGTCCTCTATAGTAAGTTATTTTACATAAAATACCTCACCAAGTATGGTCGCATGTCTAACCCTGTGGTTTTCTCCAGGTCTCCAATTTCTCCCACAGCTAAAAAAAACCCCCAAACCTACACGTGATTTATTGAAATGAAATTGAACCATATATTAGTCCCGAAATGACCTAGTTTGTGCCCAGAATAACCTATTTGTGGCTACAAATTTACAAGGCTCGCAGGAAACCACAGGGGTATTGATCTAGATGGAGTCGAACTGCTGATACAGATCAATGAAGGTCTAACCGGTTGTAGTGGCAGGTTGCATCAGAGGTCACACGAGCGGCTTTTGAATCTATCATGTCAGACATTTGATTAACAAGTCGGCGTTGATGTTTCTAGTGGGTTACCCACAGTTCCGTGCAACTCGCGCCAAAAATTGGCTGTAACAGACCGTTTCATTGGCTAATCCCTCACATCATCCAGAATGCGGGTTATATAACAACTCTTCCAGATCCTAGTGTAGTAAAGACAAATAAAACGAAATTTTGAACTATAAAAAATGAAACAAAATAGGATCATTTTGCAAGAGTTTTTTTTCTGTTTTTTTTATACAGTAATTCTGAATATAACGATAGATTACGATCAGATAGCATGGAATCCAGAGCTTCACGTAAAAGTAAATTAGATGATGATTTCTTCAGGTAAATATATAATTAAAACATGGTATTATTTCAATTGAGAAATCATTAAGACTCTAGCACTGTAACTCTGGTATCATTTAATCTTGTGTATCTAGCATTAATTTCTTTCACATTCATTTAATATAAAATCTTTGTTTTAAAAATTCGTAAAAATCATTTAAAATCACCCAAAATCATCTAATTTGTACTTGTGTCCAGTTTAAAGCTGATCATTCAGTTTTGATAATGAGATGGATGGATCACATCATATCTTAGTAATAGACATCAAACAGTTCTACTTGGTGAGGCTAAATCTCTACCGTTTAAACTTGACTGTGGCGTACCACAAGGCAGTGTTTTAGGACCCATTTTCTTTGTTCTTTATACAACCGCTTTAGGGTCTTTGATCGATGGCTATGATCAGAGGCACTACTCTTACGCCGATGATACTCAACTCATTGGTGTGTCTAGTCCTATGCTAATCAAAAATGCCTTACAAAAAACTACTGACTGTTCGCTGGCAGTTAAACAGTGGATGAAAGCGAACAAACTAAAATTGAACGACGATAAAACAGAGGCTCTTTTAGTAGGTTCATCACAACAACTCAAGTTACTACCTGATCTTAAAATCACCATTGGTAATTCAGAAATAAATTTCTGCAAAAATGTTCGAAACCTTGGAGTGATATTTGATCCTTCTCTGACAATGGACGCTCAGGTTGATATGGTATGCCGTACATGCTACTATCATCTACGCTGTAGATGCAACATCAGAAACTATCTCACTGCTGACGCTTGTAAACTACTTGTGAGATCACTTATTTTATCAAGGATTGATTATTGTAATAGTTTACTCTATGGAATCCCACAAACACTTCTAGCCAAGATCCAAAAGGTTCTTAATACTGCAACCCGAATAGTAACAAGGACAAGTTTGATCACATCCAGAATGTGATGGCTTCTTTACATTGGTTACCTGCTGAGGCGCGAGTCAAATACAAAATACTAACATTAGTGTATAAATGTCGCAATAATGCAGCTCCTCAATACTTATCTGAACTCTTATATGACTACAACCCTATTAGATCACTTCGCTCTCAAAATAAACAGTCACATGGGTATAGGTCTTTCAGTTCAGCTGGTCCTAGATTATGGAACGAACTTCCACAACAGATCAAGAATCAACAAACTTTTAATCAATTTAAATCCGCACTAAAGACTTTCCTGTTTCAACAGTTTTACCCCTAGAGCCATTACAAAAAGCGTTTTGAGCATGTGTCAACATGGAGAAGACGCTATATAAAACTTCATTATTATTATTATTATTACAAGCGTTTAATTTCTTGATCACTGTTAAAAAATCAAGAACCCAATTGATTATTGATGTATAATGATTAATTTTTTAACAGTGACCGAAAAATTAAACGCTTGTAAATTGGACACTCATTATCAAAATTAATCATTCAGACACAAGTACAAATTGGTTACAGTGTAGGAGATTATCAATAAGTTGTTATAGATATATTTATATATTTATAGTGGTGGAACTGATACAGTGGAGGCTATCAGTGAAGAAGATGGTTCATATAATCAATTATCACCTGATTTCTCATCTTTACCTTCTTCACCTAACGAACTCCAAGGTAAGTTGTCACAAACCTTTACCTTCTTCACCTAACGAACTCCAAGGTAAGTTGTCACAAACCTTTACCCTCTTCACCTAACGAACTCCAAGGTAAGTTGTCACAAATCTTTTTTTGAAAAGCATTCTTTTATAACATGTAGAATCTCTCTTGCAAGGGTCTGTCTAAAAACCACAAAAATGTACTTTTACTGGGGTGGAGCCTGTGCATCTCTCTGCTGCTAATAAATATCTATTTAATTTTTGTTACATTTGCAAGGGGTAAGACGCGCGCTCGCTCACTCGGAAGCCTTGAAGTAGCGTGTTCAATCCCTGCATTGGCCGAGAAAATTCAACGGGATTGTCCGACAAGGTTTCCTCTTGTCAGTGGTGCAGGACAGAGGGCCGAAAAACCGAGGTCCCGTGTATACATTGGTGTGCACGTAAAAAATACCTTGGCACTTGGAATTCGATAAAAGAGTAGGCCATAGTGTCACTGCCGCGGGCAAAATTTCCCTCATAGCATATGCCTGTCTTCATTATGCCAGTATTGGACGTCTTCATTAGCCCAGTTTAGGAGCAGAACAGTAGGACGTTAAACCCCATTTCATTTCATTTCCAGTATTGGAGCAGAACAGTAGGACGTTAAACTCTGTTTCATTTATTTTTATAGAACATTTAAAGATGTCACCAGAAGAAGAAGGGAGAGGAGCAAGTGCATATATGGTGATGCAGCCAGGTGCTTCAACACCACCTACTGGTACAAGTGGTTACGTTGAGATGACCACCAGGTCACAGAGAAGTAAGCTTATAATCAGATAGACATGTCCCCCACCCCCAACCTTTGGAAGGGGGGTTGGATGGCCGCTGACGTTTAAAAATTGTCCATGTGACTTAAAGAGGGTCACATGGATAATTTTAAAACATCATCGTAGACTCGATTGTCTACCTAGCGAAAAGTAGTGAGTATTGCCACTGGTTGACGAAATCTAGAGTAGTGAAGTTTGATCCTAATTATTTTATTCCAACCCGTTTCTTACCTTTCTATGTGATATCTACTGAAAGAGAATCGGTTTCAGACCAGTTATTTGCCCCCGAGTTAGAAATCGGAATCAGACCAGTTATTTAATAATCTTGTTTACGAACATGGACGTAACAGACTTTAGACATAAACTTAGTCATAACTTGATGTTATTTTTGAAATATTTTCCACATTTCAGGCACCTGTGGTCTATGACAGGTGCCTCATTTCCAGGCTTCCATGAAAATAAAAGCTAAGTTTATTTTATATTATTTGTAATAGATACAGATTTAAGTCCAGCTTCTAGTGAAAGTGACAGATATTTAAATATGTCTGTGAGTCGTCCTCCTGCATCATCACCTATACCTATACGTGGACCACCAGATAGTTTATATAAAGATATGTCACATTGTACACCGTTACCAACGGTTACAGAAGGTGGAAGTAAGTATATATTATCTTTTAAGTAACACGGTAGCTCCCCAAAAATTTTGGGTTTGATACGAGTGTTGGCCAAATAAGTTCTTGGGTCTCACAGGGGGTTCGGTGGCCGAATACGAATAGTTCAAAGCGTCAGAAGGTGGAAGTAAGTATACTATTTCTTAAGCCTACCTCACAACCTGCCGCTTGTGATTTGACACACATGGTTCGTAGAGTTTGGAAGCTCGCAGACCAGCCGCAGGAAACCAGTTGAAAATGTTGTATGTGCAGGACTAAAATTCTCAACGGCCAGTCTGAGATCTTCCACAGTGCTGAACACAACCAATTGATGCTTAAGTCTCATGCACGAGTTTAGGTAGTTGAGTTCATTGGCAAATTATGGATTTGAGTTCATTGCTTAATTAGTTATTTGAGTTCATTGTCTAATTATGTATTTGAGTTCATTGCCTAAGTATGTATTTGAGTTCATTGCCTTAATATGTATTTGAGTTCATTGTCTAATTTTGTATTTGAGTTCTTTGTGTAATTGTTTCCTCCCACTTCTAAAGACCCCTACGCGCAAGCGAATTATGTAAATAAAATTAAACCATATGTTAGTCCCGAAATGACCTAGTTTGTGTCGAGTGGATGTTAAACCCCATTTCTCTCTCTCTCTCTTTGTCTAATTATGTATTTGAGTTCATTGTCTCATTATGTATATTAGTTCATTGTCTAATTATGTATTTGAGTTCATTGTCTAATTATGTATTTGAGTTCATTGCCTAATTATTTATTTGAGTTCATTGTCTAATTGTGTATTTGAGTTCATTGCCTAAGTATGTATTTGAGTTCATTGCCTAATTAGGTATTTGAGTTCATTGCCTAAATATGTATTTGAGTTCATTGTCTAATTATGTATTTGAGTTCTTTGCCTAATTATGTATTTGAGTTCATTGTCTTATTATGTATATTAGTTCAATGCCTAATTATGTATTTAAGTTCATTGTCTCATTATGTATTCGAATTCATTGTCATATTATGTATTCGAGTTCATTGTCTAATTATGTATTTCAGGCAATGAAGGTTATTTACCGATGTCACCAACATACGGACAGAGTCCCTTTTCTAGTGCTCATTTAAAACCTGAACCTGCCGTCTGCATGTTGTCAGACGACACACTGGAATTCCCTAAAAGGACATATTCTCTTGGAAGTAAACCGCCAGTAAATACTGGTAATAAGACGTCAGGTTATTTAGATATGACAATAAACAAAGGTGTTACGGATAAAGGTCGCAGCTGTAGCGCGCCTCACCTTATACCTCAACGGAAATTACATCTAGATTCTCCGACACCTAGTGCTAGTCCTCTCAGTACCTCAATGCGATCCGACGATTCTGAGTCGTTTATGGAATTTGATTTTTACCGACCCCGAACTGCCAGTGATAGTTATAGTTATCGACCTCGGGCCTCCAGTTTCGGTAACAAGTCGCTACAGGCCCATCGTCCTCGTTCTTCTAGTCATGGTCAACAAGCCCGCACATTTAAACCCAAAAAGGCTTTTGACTCCGTTCGTACCACGTCCGAAGAGTTACGACAATCGATGAGTTCTTGCCAAGGTTCCTCAGATTCTCTACGAATGTCGTCCAGTGAATCGTTGAGGAAATTGTCGCGGGAAGTACGAGCCAAGACATCTAGTTTGTTGAGTACAGATTATCTTGATATGTCCATAGACAAGCGTAAAACACCTTCCCCCCAACCCGGTTATCAGCAGACGCCAACATCCAAACCAAACGGCTACATGGATATGACTCTGGGTATGAGAACATCCTCCCCCAGCAGGTGTCGAACGCCGCAAGAACGCTCGGGGTCGTTCAGCAGTGGAACATTCAATAAGACCAGAGACAAAATGATTCAAGAACGCTCCGGTTCGTTCAGTTCTGGGACAAGTCACAAAATTTTACCCGTCAGTGAGATTCCAACAAAAAAGTCCTATAGTAGTGATAAAGTTCATAATATGTCTACTTCCGTGGACAATAAACCAACAAGTGGTGATATGTACGTGAACATGGACATGTCGTCTTCTTCTAGTCAAATTATAAACGATCCAAATCAGAAATCAGGAAAAGATAACTCGCGTTCTTCGTCTGCGGAGAATCTAGAAAGTTATGTGATGTACGAACCGAAAGTTACTACAAGAACGTCTTCTAACACCCCTCATAATAAACAAATTCGACCAATATCTTCGGATTCTTCTATTAAGCGATCATCTGATCGACCCAGTAAACGAGATCAAAGAAAAAAAACTGGCAACGCTTCTAAGTCTAATCAGTGGTTACATAATGCGGAACAACAAAGCTCGATAGAAAAAAATGATGAGTATATTGAGTTCTCTCCCATGTCAAAATCTCCTGATGGAAAAGCGCTTAGCAAGACTTACGCGAAATCTAACGTGGGGAAAGATTGCGACAGTCTTGAAGATAGTTGTGAGTATATGGGATTTGAACCAGGTCAGGTAGCGGGTAACACGTCTACGCCCAATAACCAGAAAAAATCATCCACGCCGGGACAAATAGTGAGTCAGAGAAGTTATTTTGGAAATGTGAACCACGCTGGTGCCAAGGAGCCCAAAAAACTGGCCAGTAGTGCTTCGTTTAGTGGGAGATCAGCGCACACCCAGCGATTTAAAAACAAGAATGTCAGTGATGAAAGTGAATACTTAAACTTTGAACCTGCGACTAATGTCAAGTCCCAAACGTCTAGAAAAGATGAAACATCTGCAGGAAAAAACCGACGTCAGAAGGCAGATTTAAAATCGTCTCCGTTTAATCCAAATAAGGTTCCGAGTGCTCCAATTAAAGACAATAAAGTTAAACCAACAGTGGAGGAAGGGTCGAATGAAGACAGTAAAATAAAGCGTGTTGCGAATTATGTCGAAGATGATTATCTTCTAACAGAAAAATTAGACACAACATCAATACCATCAGCCGGTATCAAACAACTTCCTATCCCTATAAATCCTCCTTGTATTCTGTCTGTAGACAAATCGCCTAGCAACAGTTCACCGGGTCAAATAAAAACAATTAAAACCCCAGATAAAAATAAAACTGCTAGTAATAATAGCCTATCAAGTGTATCAAATATCGGGGGTAGTGTATTAGATCCTGCTCATGCTCGTCATAGCATCTCGGATCTGAGCGGTTACGAGCAGATGACATTTCCTACAACAGGCATGTCTTCTGCTAAATTAGGATCATCTAGTAGTGTTTCTTCCACGGGTAAAAACATTGACAAACCTGCCACAGGAATGAAGTCGGCAACACCAACGTCTTCGAACGTGGTATCATCCATGAGTAATTTGTCCGTTAATGTAACGAGTCCCTGTTCTGGCTCCCAACAACAGCTAACCAGTGGCAAGGAAGTGTTGAACTATGCGTCGCTCGATCTTGGCTCATCGGAAAATATCGGTGATGACAGTCTAAGGTCACCTCGTATTAAAAGTCGACACGCCTCGGCGGCCGATGAAAAAGTGGAACCCTTATCGTACGCTCAGATTGATTTTGAAAAATGTGAAAGTCTAAAAGCTCTGACAAATAGTAAATCGGATATTTCGAAGACAGGAATCGGTGAATCTAAACTTTAATTTTTAATTGTCTTTTATTTAACCCTTTTGCATTTGGACCACTCAAAGCTAGACCTCCAAACCTCACGAGGGGGGTTCGGTGGCAGAATGGTTAACAATTGCGAGTTGCATCATAAGGTCTGTCATACAGTTAACTGGCGTGATTTTGATTCCCTACATGTAGATGACAAGGAGTAGGGTCATTTGTTCAACTGCGTGGGTTCTCTCTGGTTTCCTCCCACTGCTAAAGACCCCATCGCGCAAGCGATTTATTGAAATAAAATTTAACCATAGGTTAGTCCTGAAATGACCTAGTTTGCACGTAGTGGTCTTTAGCAGTGGGAGGAAACCGGAGGAACCATTGACTCAATGACATACCTTATGATCCCACACACATGCGTTTACCATTCTGCCACCCAACCCCTGATTTTAAGTTGGTCTGAGAAGCAGTAATTGTGTACGATTTTAAGCTGTATTAATTATATTATTAATTATATCACCTTTCTCTAACTTAGTCAAAATGTACCAAGTGCTACAACTGTATAGGGTTAATTATTAAAGATGCATTGTGTAGGAGCTGGTCATTCTGGCTATAATAGATAATATTATTAAAGATACATTATGTAGAAGCTGGCCATTCTGGCTATATTAGATAATATTATTAAAGATACATTATGTAGGAGCTAACCGTTCTTCCTATAATGTTATTAAAGATACATTATGTAGGAGCTGGCCATTCTTCTTATAATAGATAATATTATTAAAGATACATTATGTAGTAGCTGGCCATTTTTGCTATAATAGATAATATTATTAAAGATACATTATGTAGGAGTTGGCCATTCTTGCTATATTAGATAATAGCCGTGATCATCATTACTAAAGTCGGGACGATAAAAAACATGGTCTCGATTATCCATTTCATAATTAAATCATGAATGAAAGTTGAGCAGCAAATGGGATCCTAATCCATTAAATATCGCAGGCTAGAGATGCCATCGAGAGTTGATTATGGTCTGGATAAGATAATTAATGTATAATTAATTATTTAGATAACATTTCAGGCCTAAAGAAAGACCTGCAATAGGCAGATTTAGCTCTTACATAATGTGTGTTTAATTAAATAAACCTGTCCATAACATTATATTAGAATGTTTTGGAGGTTATGTTTCTAATAAACAACAACAATGTTATAAAAATAAAGCACATGTTATCAAGCTGTGATTGAAGTGTTATAAAAAACAAAATAACGTGTGAAGCCAGAAATAAAGATGTTGATTAAAGGCTTGCTATGTGAATAAATTTCTTAATAACTTATATAACGTTTGAAGTCAGAAATAAAGATCTACAAAATAGATAGATTTACCTTTCACAGCATCTGTAACCAATGGGCTGTTTGTGAAATGATGTGAGTAGATGAGTAGGGTCGCCTGTCCAACCTCATGAGTTTTCTACGGGTCCTCCAGTTTTCTCTTGCTGCTAAATTATTGAAATAAAATTGAACCATGTGTTAGTCCCAAAATGACCTAGTTCATGTCGAGTTGATGTTAAACCCCATTTCTCTCTCTGTCTCTCTCTGTTTTTGCTGTATACTTGTATTTACAATCTAGGTTTGTAAGGTGTTGATTATACGCTATCACAGGCTTGCTGTATCATACGGTCTGTCATTGAGTCAACTGGCAGGGTTTCGATTCCCCGGTTGTACGTGACAAGGAGTAGGGTTGCCTGTCCAACCTCGTGGGTTTTCTCAGGGTCCTCCGGTTTCCTCCCACAGCTAAAGACCCCTACGCGCAAGCGAAGTATGGGAATAAAATTAAACCATATGTTAGTCCCGAAATGACCTAGTTTGTGTCGAGTGGACGTTAAACCCCATTTCTCTCTCTCTCTCTCTCTGTTTATACGCTCGCCATGACAATAAATGTCCAAATAATAATTTATATAGGATTTGAAGCCAGAAAAAAGACCTACAATAGGAAGATTCACCTCCTACATAATGCATCTTTAACCACTGAGATGTTTTTCACTCTGATTAAAATACAGATCTACATTTCGTTTTGTTTTTTTATACTTTCGATGGCCTACACTACATAAAGAGCTGACTGGTTGTAGCGATAGGTCGCGTCAGAGGTCATACAAGTGGCTTTTGACCCTTTGATGTCACTGTCAAACATTTGATTAATCAATCAGCATTGATGTTACTATTGGATTTCCCACAGTTCTGTGTAAAACACGCCTAAAGCTCGCCGTGACAGACCGTTTCATTGGCTAATCCCTCACACCACCCGGAACACTCAATGATAACAACACTTCCATTTCCTAGTGTAGTAAAGTCAAGTAAAATGAAATTTTGAACTATAAAAACGAAACGAAATAGGATCTGTGTTTTAATGAGATTGGATGTTTTTGCTGTATACTTGTATTTCAATATCATGTGAATTTACAATCTGAGTTTTTATATTTGTTGACAGAATGCAAGCCTGGAAATAACGGTTTTACATGTACCCGACAAAATGTCAGGCACTAATGAAATACTACCTAACATTTTCAACTTAGTACCGGACATGTATTAATAATATCAATAAAAAAGACAAATCAGTGCTGGACAAAATGACAGGCACCAGAGGTTTAGTGCCTCACAAAGCCTGAATCTGTGTCTGACATTGTCTGTGACAGGTGCCTTATTTCCAGGCTAGAAGAATGTCATGAGATTGAACTGATCTACGTCAGTGTCTTTAGTTTTTTGGAGAACAGTGGTTCTAAGAGCAGCAAGATTTAGCTCTTACATAATGCATTATAAATGTTAATATTTTATAAAATGAAATGTGTTATGATATAATTAATTTTGTAAATATTGTTATAAGATGTATATTCTAGCGTTATTGTTAATAGTTAAGTTTTTGAGTGAAATTGATGGATTTTATGCTATGATAGTATTATATAAAATCCTAAAAAATAATCTGTCGATACATATATATATATATATATATATATATAAAACCTTTTCTAATATATGTAGCTTTTAAATGTAACCTTGTTTTTAGCTTTATCTGATAAAAATATTATCACTATGATAACTGATATAAATATTATTCACATGTTTATCTAATAAAAGGCCATATAAAACAAATCTTCTGGTTTTCAGATACTGCCTCATTGCTTGAAAGGGGGGTGGTGGTGGTGGGGGGAGCGGATTGCGGAATGGTTAGTGCATGCATGTTGTAGCATAAGGTCTATCATTGTGTCCACTGACGTGGTTTCGATTCCCTGGTTTTCTCCGGATCCTGCGGTTTCCTCCCACTGCTAAAGACCCCTACGCGCTAGCGAATTATTGAAATAAAATTGAACCATGTTAGTCCTGAAATGACCTAGTTTGTGTAGAGTGGATGTTAAACCCAATTTCTTTCTCTCGCTTGAAAAGGTCCACATGACTTGTTTTTATTTCAAAAAAAGGAACACCCTTGTTATGTTTGTAGGCTCGCAAAACTGGAAGGAAGTCTTTAATAAAGCAAACAGAGTGATCGCCCTTACATAATAATGCCTTACAGGGACAGGGACATTTAACAAATTACAAAGATAACTATTGAAACCTCCCTCCTGCATAAGTTTTTTTTTTGAGAGAGAGAGAGAAGGATAGAGAGTTTAACCTCAGACACAAACTAGGTCATTTCGGGAGTAACATATGGTTCAATTTTATTTTATTAATTTGCTTTTGCGTAGGGGTCTTTAGCAGTGGGAGGAAACCGGAGGACCCTGAGAAAACCCACAAGGATGGACAGGCGACCCTACTCCTTGCACGTACAACTGGGGAATCGAAACCAAGCCAGTTGACTCAATGACAGACCTTGTGATACAACGTGCACCCCTGCTAACCATTCGGCCATCCAACCCTGCTAGCCATGATATGAAATGAAATGGGGTCTAACGCCCTACTGTTCTGCTCCGAACTGGGCTAATGAAGACGGGCATACGCCATACAGTGTGCTATGAGGGAAATTTTGCCCGGACAGCGGCACTACAGCCTACTCTTATATCAAATTCCAACTGTCGAGGGATCTTTTACGTGCATGCCAATGTGTACACGGGACCTCGGTTTTTCATCCCATCCGAACGACTAGATGGCTGTCCATGTCAGGCCCTCCATCTTGCATCACTGACAAGGGGAATAACAAAATACAAACATAACTATTGAAACCTCCCTCCTGCATAAGATTTTTGAAGTATTGTCGGAGAACCAATATATTTTTGTTGTATGGCCTAAATATTATCTTTATCTCTGTATTAAAAAGATTCCAAATTTACATTTAGTTAGTAAAAGACATGTAGTTTATGGCAGATAATCTTGCTGGTCAGGGACTTTATTAAAGGGACAATAACACTCTTGCTGGCTTGAAAGCTCCAGAAAATAAAAAATAGCCTTATTCTAAGTACTAGATGTGTAAGTGTCCTACCTGTTGTGTAAATTATCCATTACATCCTATTTAACTTGTCCAGAGGGTTCGAAAATATGTTTAAATCGAAGTTTCATTTGAAAAGGTTAAAGTTAGACGTTTCAAACCATTATGTTGGATTTTTCAAAATTTTTAAATAAGGTGTGTTAAGATGAGATTTGTATCATCAATTAATTGAAATATTCTAAAATAGTACAATTTGTTGACCAGAATAAAGATTGGGACATATTATTCAGTTACAACAAGAGTGGTATTGAGCCTTTAAAAAAAAACAACTTCAACTGAAGTATTTTGAGAATGCAGCCTTTTTATATGCTCACATTGAAATGTGGTTGTATATTGCCGTCACCTCCATCTGTCCGTCCGCTGTCTACAATCTCTAGAGACTAAAGTTCAAATCTAATTGACTTTAAATTTATGCACTATGTTTAAGGTCATGAGACAAAGGAGTGTATCAATTTTCAAAAATTTACAATAATTATTGCCAGAGTTATGGGCTATGGCCCTTGATCACTTTGAAAAATGTCTTGGACTCTCTAGAGGCTGAAGTTTATTTCCGATAATTACTAACAGAGTTATGGAACTTGGTCTCTTTGAGATATCTTGTTGACATGCTAGAGGCTTAAGGTAATAAATATTTATACACAGTGTTTAAGGTCATGAGACCAACAAACGAAACAAATTTTAATGATTTCTGATAATTATTCGTAATCAGATTTTAGTGTAGTATAAATGACAAAAGAACAAATATGTCACAACCCTTGTTGACTCCTCGGACGATTTAGCTGCAGTGTGTGTAAGTTTCGTTGCCTGGCAACTTATCTTTTTTGTACCATGATTTAAACCCTCAGTCAGCTGCTTCATTAAAATATTTTAGTTTTTTTTTTTTAAGTTCTCATGAAAAGGGTTACTGTGATTATTGTATAGTACTCCATCAATTACAACACAGTGGCAGCACTAGAGTGGGTTGGCACAAAAAGCGTTTAGATCTATTTGATAAGGCCAACTTCAAGTCTGGTCAAAGGTCACGAGATGTAAACTGGGCTAGTGCTAATCCCAACCCTAACCCTTGACCTAGCCGCAATACTTACCATATCTCTAACCTACAATCTCGTCAACAATCATGTGTCCACACCTTATTTATATCTCAGTGACCTTGACAAGAAATTGAGCTGGCCTTAACAAATAGATTTAGCCCACAAACTTAAAAGGAAAAAAATCGAAAAATTATTTTATGTTCTTTGAATTTAAAAAAAAAGCTAGCTATATACAAAGCTGCATGAGCAAATTTTACTCCTTTCTGACTGATGTTAAGATTCAATTATTTCTGTTAATTGTGTCCCTTTTTCAGGAAAATTTGGCGCCCAACCCACCCACTGCAAAATCCTACCGCTGTAACAATAGACTGTGAGAGTACCATATTTGTTGAAATCCTTTTTATAATCATTTCGTACAGTTATGGGTGATAATGGCCTAAATTGTGTTACTGAAAGTCATATAAACTGTAAAATAAATAAATATATGATCATGCCCAAGTAATCTGTGTCCAGTATTTTTGTTTTTACCAGATATTTTATACACCTCTGTAGAAAAATACTGCCCTTCTTTGGACCCCCTGGGGAGTTGGATGGTTAGCATAAGGCGCGCTGTATCATAAGGTCTGTCATTGATTCAGCTGACAGTGTTTTGATTCCCTGGTTGTACGTGACGTGTAGGGTCGTCTGTCCAACCTCGTAGGTTTTATTCGGGTCCTCCCACTACCCGCAAGCAAATTATTGAAATAAAATTGAACCATATGTTAGTCCTAAAATGACCTAGTTTGTGTCAAGTGGACGTTAAACCCCATTTCTCTCTCTCTTTGGACCCCAGGGAGCATGGCACTGGGTCATTAACTTAGGCTGTAAAGCAGGTTCTTACATTATCAGTAGTGTAGGAAATGAAAATAAAATTAAATGGGGTTTAATGTCCTAGTGTTCTGCTCGGATCAGGCTAAGGAAGAGGGGCATAGCTTACACCATGCTATGAGGTAATTTTGCCCGGACAGTGGCGCTATGGCCTACTCTTATATTGAATTCAAAACTATCAAGGGTTCTTTAACGTGCACACAGGACCTATCCAGATGTCTAGGTTGTCCTTTTCCAGGCCCTCTTGTCCCACATCACCGTGCGGTATACCCCGATGATCTTTCTCGGCCAACACAGGACCTCCAGCCTTAGTTTCCTCGTGTCGGTGGAACAGGAAGGAGAAGACTTGGACCTCAAGGTTAACAGCCAACATTTTTTTTTCGGCACTTAATTTTGATTGGTTGGTTCCTGACCCAGCTGGGGACCTCCCAGATTCCTCAATAGCAAAAATCATCGCGAATACTAAGTTGGACACTTTCCAACTGAAATTAAATGGGGTTCAACGCCATACTGTTCTGACCAACTGAAATGTCTTCCCTACAGTCTCGGAATGATGTCTAAAGCAAATTTGATGGTGTTTAATTTATATCAAACATTTAGATACGTCCGAAAATCCCGATTAACTTTCTCTGCCAATGCAGCGATCGAACAAGGTATATGAACTTTCTCTGCCAATGCAGGGATTGAACACAGTATATGATTAACTTTCTCTGCCAATGCAGCGATCGAACAAGGTATATGAACTTTCTCTGCCAATGCAGGGATTGAACACAGTATATGAGCTTTCTCGGCCAATGCAGAGATCAAAAAGGTATATGAACTTTCTCTGCTAATGCAGGAATCGAACTTAATGCAGGGATATGAACTTGCAGAGATCGAACACCGTATATGCTATCAAGAAAAAAACAAAAAATATCTGTGATGAACATATTTTATTCCCACATAGACACAACAATATTAATGGACATAAGTAGACATAGAAAAATGCAAAAAGTTGGATTGGGAAGGGAAAGGGGGCAGGGGGCAAGCGCCTATAAATTGGGCATATTGATATTACTTACAGTATTGACTGAATCATTCTACATAATGAAATAAACAAAAGTTTCAAGTAATTCATGTCTGTACGTCTTGGAACAGGCTACAAGACCTACACATCAAAATACATTTAGTTTCCATTTAATTTTTTTTTTAAAATTGTTCGCTTTGTACCAGTATATAAATTTTGAGATCAATAAAAATGACAGGAAAAAAAAGAAATTGTTTTAGCCTTACTAATATCTTAAATTGTTGCAGTAAGAAATGTGACATTCCAAGACATCCATGTATATATGCAAACGCTTAATTGATACGCCAGATGTCCATTTACTATAAATTTTTGATATGCCAAGACCTTCATTTATTGTAAATTTTTTACTCTTAAGATGTCCATTTATTGTAAATTTCTGACTCTAAAAACATCCATTTATTGTAAATTTTTGACTCTGAGATGTCCATTTATTGTAAATTTCTGACTGACATCCATTTATTATAAATTTCTGACTTAAGACATCCATTTATTGTATATTTTTGACTCTCCCAAGACGTCCATTTATTGTGAATTCTTGTTAGTTACTCCAAGACGTCCAATAATACATGCAAATTCTTGTTAGATACTTCAATTTCCACTTATGATTATTTATACAAATGAACAATGACGGTGAACTCTTCAACTATCACACACAATTCCCTTTTTTCAAAAACATGACCAATTAGAAAAAGACAATCACCTTTCAAGCTTCATAACTTGAAGCCTGTATATTTTGAGAACCTCTCAAAAACCAAATTTCAGCCTAAACCTCAATCATGAAAAGAAAAAAGGAAACTTATGATCCAGTGTCCGAGACTGGGTATTTTTTTTTCTTTCAAAAAGCACTTTTTATAGGAAATTTCTGTACATACTTTTCTTTTGATACAAAACAAGTGTTTTAATAATTGGGCAGCGATTAAATTTTTGTCCAAATTTACAGAATGTACATCATCTGTACAAAACAATATTTACTATATATTGTATATTTATATATATATATATATATCCCATTACACATTTATACTTACAACTACATAGTAATATCTATATATATAGTTATATAAAAAGCAAAAAACACTGTTCATAAGAATAATGAACAAAAAATGATAACAGTAGTCACACAAACCAGACTAGATAATCTAGTCTATATTACTCAATAATCTAGTCTATAATGATATGAAGTTAACTAATATATCTAACGAAATAGCTCAGAAGCATTCTACAATGAGAGTAAATGTGTTGAGTTCTGGTTAAAAAAATCCAACAAAATTCTGACCATTTCTCTTGCACATACTTTCTGGCACACATGTTAAAACAGTGGCCATCAAGGGCGCACATGTTAAAACAGCTGCCATCAAGAGCGCACATGTTAAAACAGCTGCCATCAAGAGTGCACATGTTAAAACAGCGGCCTTCAAGAGCGCACATGTTAAAACGGCTGCTATCAAGGGCGCACTTGTTAAAATGGCTGCCATCAAGGGTGCACATGTTTAAACAGCAGCCATCAAGGGTGCACATGTTAAAACAGTGGCCATCAAGAGCGCACGTTAAAACAGTGGTCATCAAGGACACACATGTTAAAACAGTGGCCATCAAGAGTGCACATGTTAAAACAGCTGCCATCAAGGACGCACATGTTCAGTGGCCATCAAGGGTGTACATGTCGGTGACCACACCATGTGTATTTTCAAGAATTCAACCAAAAAAGATAATTTGCTGTTAATTTTACCATGAAGAAAAATCAACCACATTTACAATCATTCAAAGTAAATTAAAACAACTTGTGAACCAGAATCAGAGAGAAAAAAAAAAGCCACAAGAAAATAAAAGCCAATAGTAAGAAAAAAAAAAAATTATAAAGAAAAACAAACCTGCCACCATTGACATTTACAGTAGAAAGATAAATGTTAGTAGTTATATTGTTATAGGGGAAGACAACTCCTCAGTAAAATTCTTATAATTAACAAAACCTAATCAAAACAAACCATTTCATAATATTCTGGTTCCTTCAAGAAAACTTGAACTAAAACATTTTAAGAATGCAGGCTTTTCATTGGCTAAGAGCTCAATTTGAACTAAAGTCCAACCAATGAACAGGCAGCATCCTTAAATTACTTGTAGTTTAAATTTTGTGACCAAGGCATCCGATTTAAAAAAAAAATATTTCATATGGAAACCTCAATGTGACTTTTCTGTTGTCTGAAGGGACATCTTCACATTCAGCCTATTATTAATTCATGTATTCACATTTAAAAGAAATTAAGTATAATAAGAATAGTGATTTAGAATGTGTAATTTCATTTCCCCGACAAGAAACAATGGAAAAAAAAAAATTAATATAATAGCCCCTAAAGATCATAAAAAATAAACAAAACAAAATGAAAACAATAAAAATAATATTTTGGGAGAATATTTATACAGAGAGAGAGATGGTGACTATTAACAATTAATGTGCCAATTTCTATGATAGTATATTTCTGTACATTAACCTATTTAAGTGCTAGCAACAATTCTCTTAGTATACATAGCACTATATATCTGGACCTCTTGGATACGATCTTTGTTTATACATAAAATTACAACTGTACATCTTTTTTATTTTCAGAATAAGGCTTATACATGATTTTATATCCTATGCACATATTTTTACAAAATGTTTTCTTTTTATAAACAGAAAATGAACTAAAAAAAATTTCAACATCTTTTAAGAGATTGGGTTTTTTTTTACAGCATAAACTGAACTTCTAACAGCCAAAATTTTAACCGGTTAATCCCCATCTTTAAGACTTGATCAAAGTTTCATAATTACATTTATAGCCCATGTTCTATACTACAAATAAAAAATATATTCAGAATCCGTTATAAAATTTTAGGAAAAGAAGTTCAGTTTTGCCTCTAAATACTTAATGTACAAGGAATGGAACTTTCTTTATGAAATGAGTTTTTTCTCCTAAGGAGAAATTGTAAAAGTTTTATACAAATGAATCAGATATATATGAAGACTTTATTTTGTACAGTTTGGTCTTTAACACAACTAGGGCAAAGTAGATTTTCATAATATACATTGTATATTGTTTTCTAACAGAACTTCACTTAACTCTATGCTAAGATTATCAAATTTTTCATAAAAGGCTACAATTGCAAGTTGGGAAATAAGGCACCGATCAGCCATTGTACCTGTCTTTTTGTCAGGAATAAAGTTTTCTTAGCAGCATCTGATATAAAGTTTAAAATGTCAGGTATCTGTACTTGTTCATTAGTGACATTTTATAAAGTATAACTCAATGAGCGTCCTCGATGAAGGAATTCCCAGTACCATGTGTCCCTAGTAAAAACTCGATTCTACGTGACCTTATCGATGGTAAGAGAACCGTATTGGTATTAAATTCCATATTAACGACAAAAACTAACGTTTGTCAACACACGAGTTCGTAATGAATGTACAGGAAAACTGTGTTATATGGTAAACAATGAGGTCACGTGGGATCGCCTCGTCTATAAATTATGTCCCTGTATCTCTAGCGACGACGCCCATTCATTATTTCCAGACTGGCAATTGCAACGCAGCT